GACAGAAAATCTTACTAACATATTCTGAAAATAAATTATTTTTATAAAAAATAGATTGTGAATCTCCAATGATAGAATACTAAAAGCACTACAAATAACATTCTTTATGTAAATTTTTAAATGAAAAAATATTTTTAAAATTTTACCAACATATTGAAGAATTTATATAATAATTTTTTATACCCAAGTTCAAAATCTCATTATCACAAATAAAATTTTTTTTACAAAAGAAAAACTGAATCCCATGATGCAATCTCTTCAGAGTGGGATACTAGTCTCTATGAATACTTTTAAGGTGAAAAAATTATCTTAAATTGCTACCAAACTATTAGAGTAATTTTAAGATCTTCAATAATTAAATTATTTGGTAAATTATAAAGATGTTTTAAAGTTTGGATAACTTGAAATCAAATTGGTATCATCTTTTGGATGAACGTTATGAGAGTGTTATAACTCTCCTCATGCATAATCGCACTTCTGAACCTAAATTTAGTTAGGAAGACTAAAATCTACTATTTAAAAAATACTTAAATCAAACATAGGATTTCTCTTTAATCAAACTTAAAATTTATCTTTAAAATGGGATAGATTTGGTTAGTTGTCTAATCACATCTAAATAACAAAATTGGTGATAACTCCTAAAGTGTATGTTTAAAATGGGTTTACGAATCTATACGTTATAACAAGTATAAAAATATCCTTATGTTTTACTTCTAAAAAATCACATATATATTTTTTTAAAAGTTAAATTGATGCACAATATCTCTCTTATATTGTGTCAATTGGTAATGTAAAATTATTTACCTTTATAGTAAGTGATTATTAAGGTTGATTAGGGTTCGAATTTGACTCAATTTTAAACAAATATTATGGCTAATGCGCAATATTTTTGTTTGTCAAAAACCAAACCAAAATTGAATCAAATTGCTTTTCCTAATTGAGTCAACCTAAATCAAATTTCTTCTGTTTAAATTGATTTATCGATTTTTAAAAATTCAAGATATTTTAAGTTTTATGTTATTTTTAATTTGCATAAATTTTGAAATAAAATATATTTCTCAATATTTTTTTTTGTTCAGTCAAGAAAAAGTTGTGTATTGGTTCTTGGAATACTAATGATATAATATATATATATATATATATATCTTTTCAATAAAATTTTTATAAAAAATAGAATTTATAAATTAATGAAGCTTTTTTTTCTTTTTAATATTTGCCAAAAAAGAAGGCCAAAGAGAGGGGAAAAATATACAAAAAGTTGGAGTTTTTGAGTGACGAAGATAAGTTTTTATTTTAATTTTTTTTTTAGGTTTTGAATTGTGGCTTAGAGTTTAGATCTAAGATTAATTAAGATTTCTTTTAGAAAAAATTGAAGTTGGAAAAGAAAAGGAAAAGAAAAGTTAGAAAAAATTAAGATTTCAAAATTTTTTTTTTTTTGAAATTTTTAGCATTGGTGACAGTTACCATCAACGACAAATGATGGCAACAATGACAAATGTTTGCTGAAATATGAAAAATGTCATCGGAATTTAGAAATGTTTGATGTTTCTGGTCCAAAGTTCATCCTATTCTAGAGAGAAAGAAGAGATAAAAAGACAAAAAAAAAGTTAATGATAACTTTGAAAGTAAATGATAATTATTTAAATAACTAAATTTTTAGAAATTACAAATGATTGATTTTTTTAAAAAAATTTTATGTGAAATTTTTAAAAAAATTTGATTGATTTAATAAAAAATTTTAAATAAAATTTCAATAATAATAAATTAATATTTATTTTCAAGTCAATACGTTTGTATTATATAATTTGTAAAATAATTATTTTTTAAATATTTAAAATTTTTTATTAATAAAATATGATTATATTAATATCAATACAAATATTAAAATATACAAAAATAAAATTTATTTAAATAATAATAATAATTATTTAATATGTAATATAATTTAAAATTATATTTGACAATTAATTCACTATAAATTTTCCTCGGCGAAGCCAAGCGCATTAACTAATTTTTCATACCGAGTTAACTCAAATCTCTATGTTCTACGCATCTCAATTCTCAACTTTCTTTTCAAATTATTTCACATTTAAATTGGAAAAAGGATAACTAACGCTATTGGATTAAGACCTCCGTAATATTGTTTTTTATTTTTTATTTTCAATGCTTGCAGAAATTAGAAATTTTCTGTTCTATTAGGAAGCTTAGGAAATAATTTTTGGTTCAGCCTCAAGCTTTGACTAAATTCGTATTTCCGCAAACCAATCTTTACGCTCCTCCTAGGATGGACTAAGGTTAGGGTCGGTTTAGGTGAATCTTTTAAGTGTAACAGGGGGTATCCAAAGTCAGTATCAAAAGTACGAAAAGCACTAAATGAAGGGTTTTTGACTCTAAATGTGCCAAGGCTTTCATTCCAGTTGATATGTTCTTTCATTCTTATAATTTCTTCTCTCTTTTATCTTCATCCAAAGGCATGTGACAACTTTTAAAAATTTTTCTTCCCCCACTAGCTCCTCCATCTCAAAAAAAATGATTACCCTTCACACTAAACGCCTCTCCTATATAATTCATTCATTGTGGGCTTTTTGAGAAAAAGAATAAGAAATTTTCAATCATTTCGTTTCTCATGTTTAATTAAGGTGGAAAGAAATGAGAAAAATAGCTAGGAAAAGGCTAGTAAAAATCAAAACTTTTTCCGTTTATTTCATTTAAAACATGTGAAAATTTATTGGAAAATCGCTGAAACCTAGAGTTTTAGAGGTTGAACTATTTGTCAAATTTGTAAGTGGGCTTGACTTACTTTATAATAAACAAGATTTGATTTCAAGTTGGAGCCTGACCAAACAATATTGCTATATTATTAAATAATATATTGTAATTAATTTTAATTCTAAAATTGTTCAATATATTAATAATAAATCTAACTTAAATGGAGGAATCGAGAATCCGATCAAAGTTTGAATTTTTGGATAATAAATTTAACTCAAATATCTATGTTCTTCACGTCTCGAATTCAATTATGTTTTCTGATAAAAAAATGAAGTTCCAATCTCATGTAAGTGATTTTGGATCAAGTAAAGATCATGACCTTGATTTTTCATTTTATACAGAGTTCTAACTACTTAATAAAAAGAAGTAGGTTACTTTAAGTGTGTCAAAAAACCAAGTAGAGGAAAGAAGAAAAGCCAAGAAAAACAGAGAGAAAAAGGGAAAAGGGAGAGTTGGTTGAACGGAAGTCAATCCGTGGTCCGATTGAGTTGGAACCTTGTCAAGAGCTTTATGATCAGAGTTCTACATTCTAAACGGTGAAGATCGAGTTTGAAGCTCTCTAGGAACAAATCCAGGGTTTATTTGTTGAGTCACTTATTGGTGAGATTCTCTAATTGTTTCTCTAATTATTGATTAGCTCTTAGTTTTAGCTAGAGAAGAATTTTGTTATACCTATTATTGATAGTGAAGATTTTTCTGGTGAGTCCGTAAATTTTTTCCCTCTACACTAGAGGATTTTTTACGTAAATCTTAGTGTACTTTATTTTTCCTGCATTTTTTATTATTAATTTGTTGTCTATTGCCTTCTGTATTGTTGTGATTATTGTTTCAGGCGCAATATTTTCAAATTGTTTCACATTTAATTGGTTAAAAGGATAACTAACATTAATGGATAATACCTCCGTCATATTGTTTTTTATTTTTTTATTTTCATGCTTGTAAAAATTAGAAATTTCTGTTCTATAGAAAGCTTAGGAAATACGAATATTACATTTTTACTTAAGGCTAGATAGACTCCTTATTACATTTTTTTTCAATACAAATATTACACAAGCACTTTTTTTTTTTCACTACAAATGGGCAACAACAGCACTGAAGTCATTAGACTTCAGTACAAATTGAGCGTTGGAAGCGATCACATAATTGGCAGAAAATGTTTTTCAATTACAACTATTACACAACCCTTGGCTGTAAATGCCTGATGACTTTAGACATTGAGCCGTGGAAACGATCACATAATTGGGAAAAGCTATGGCAAAAAACTAGGCAGGACGTGGGTTTGAGGAAAGAGGCGAACCGGCAGCCCTTTTGCTGGTGTTGGCATTGGGTCTACAATGATCTTCTCACCAGGAAGAAGCTTTTCCCATTTGTACCTCTTGATAATATTGTGCATGAAAACTAGTATTTCCAGGCGGGCATACTCCTTCCCTGGACACATTCTTGGTCCTCCTCCAAAAGGAACAAATGTGTAAGGAGCTGGTCCAGTCCCTTCGAACCTTGATGGGTCAAACTTCTCAGGCTCTGGGAAGCATTCCGGATTTCTATGGGTTGAATGCGCACTCCAGTACAACTATAGAATTATAGATTTAATTATAAGAAAAATAATAGTCGATATTGTATGATCAATATGAACAAATGTGCTTTAGTCTATTTCAAATTTGGTTAAGTTTTTCACTGACCTTCCAGCCCTTTGGAACGGTGAAGCCTGCATAGATGAATTCGTTCAGGGCTTCTCTAAAAGCTCCTTGGAGCGGGGGAGCAAGACGCATTACTTCACATGCCACATTCCATGAGTACCTCATCTTTTGAATGTCTTCCCAATTCAGCAACTCTCCTGGGGCTTTTGATTTTGCAATCTCTACTTGCTCTGTAAACACAAATTGACAGAAATATCAAGCTGCATCTTATTCCTTTATCTTCAAGTGTATATACTTTAAAGAATTCTACAGTACCGAGTCTCTTCTAAATTGCTAAATCAAATTGGTGGATATGGAACCTGGTCAAACATATATAATATATATATATATATTTATATATATGAAAAATTATTCGATATACTGACAGTAAACTTGATTTTAACTCTATTTGTAAAATTAAAAAAACTCCTTTGTAAGTGTATTTGACAAATATCTTCCCTCTTTGTTACATTTTGCTTGCAACTAATTGATCTTTGTACCGAAGTAAGGGCACTTTGGTCATTTTAAGGTGTGAACACTGAGTTTGCTAAGCCTAAGGGAAGGACATCATCATGGTCCCAAACCTTCAGAACAAACAAGATTTAATACTAAACAAATTCCCTGAATTGGTCAGTTCAAAATCAACTATGGAAAAAATTAAAGTATCAACATTAAGATATTCAAAGCAAGAATCAGAGCAAAGGTTCAATATGCTGACTAAAAGCGTGCATATATCGATGCTACTTTGTTTTTATTTCATCTGGTCAAGAGCATATAGTGAAGGAATATGGAAAAAATCAAGATATCAGAAGTCTCGAGTACCATAATAACTAACAACTTGCAATTTAATTATAATTTGCTTTTATTGCATTCTCTTTGTTCATCATCTACCTTGGGATGATTCTTTTATTTTTTAAATACTTGATGCTCTTACTGTATTCTATATACTATATGTTTTCACCTTTTTTTTTTTTAATTTTTTTGGCATTAAACATCATTAAATACTTTAAAATTTTAGTCCCACTCTATTGTATGCCTTCAAATTATTGCTTTTTTTTTTAGCATTAAACATCATTAAATATTATTAGCTTAAAAATATTTTAAAATTTTAATACAAAAAAATAAGGAAAAAGGATCTATGGATACTGAGATTGATTTCAATAAATAATTGCAAAAAATTATTAACGGTGAGAATAGAATTGCAAAATGAAAAAACATTTAAGTGGTAAAAGAAAAGTGTAAGAACGGAGTATAACATTTAAGAGAAATGGACTGCCACGTTTAACAATGTTGTTAGCACAAAATATGTGATTAGATTTGAATAAAGATATATAGATATCAATTTGAATGAAGTCTTTTTGCTTTTAATAAAAGATTACCTGTGACCACTTTGTGGTAGATCTCTGGGAGTTCAGCAAGGTACTTGACGATGAAAGTGATAGCAGCACTTGCAGTATCATGACCTCCAATGAGCAAACCAAGAATCTTATCGGCTATGTCCAATTCCTTCATGTACTGCCCATTCTCATCGGTTGTTAACAACATATGTGACAGTATGTCTTGTGTAGGAGATGCTTTTTTCTCTGAAAGATCAATCTTCCTTTGTTTGATAATGGCGCTCAATTCTTTCCTTATCAGGTTTGAAGCCTTGATGCCACGGTTGAAAGGTGTTCCTGGCAAGTCGATGGGAATTGATATAATCCCAGAGGCCAAAACGTTAAAAGGTTCAGCAAATTTCGCTACATGTTTAGGATCCTCGATGCTCAAGAACACCTTGCATGCAACCCAAAACGTGTAGTTCTTTGCAAGTGGAAATACGGTTACTTCTTGATGCCCTTCCCAACCAGTCTCAAAGTGCCTTTGTGCAATAGTATCCATCATCCCTACATATCTTTGCAAGGCCTCTGGCTTGAGGAAATTAGGGAGTAGTTTCCTCATCTTCTTGGATTCCTCTTGGGAAGATGTTTGCGTTGAGGAAGGGAATATCTTGTTTACGGAGTCTGGCCACCATGCAGTGACAAGCTTGTTTTCATTAGAGAACAAGAATTTGTTCCCAGCTGCACCACAAACAACGGCCGTAGGTTCTCCTAGTATTGATGTTCTAAAGACTTGAGAGGAGTACCTGGCCATTCTATCGTATATAAACTTCTCAGGGTGACCCTTTCGGCCTTTTGACAGAAATTCAAGGCTCTCACCGATGATTGGCAAGCCTGTTCTACCAGGTGGAAGGTTTGTCTGGGAATTACCATTTGTCTTGCGGGTGGAGGAAAAGAGAGAGAAAAGCGAAAAAGAGACAAATAGGATGAAGAGAGTGAGACCACAGAGGAAAAACAACTCCATTTTTTTCGTTATTCACTCTTAGGAAGAGTTGCCAAGGGAAGGATTTTGAATTGTTTTTTAGATGAGCGAAGGATGTATATATAGGTGAAACATAGGAAGAAGCTTTCAAGTCAAATAAGGTAAACCGCAAAAAATGTTGTTCGGGTTAGGTAAGGAGTGGAAAATTTAGCATTCATGCATGCCGTAGTCAATACGTTTCACTAATGGCACCCGTTCAAGGCCTGCTGCTTAATATTTTTATATTGCCTCTAGCCAATCAATAAGTAACCATGTTGAACACCCAAATTATATGGTTGGTATCGACTCGTATACTCCAATCAAGGTTATTGGATATTTTTAAATTAATTCAATAAATTAATTTCCACAAAATTAAATACGCAAGAAATTACACCAATTAAAATTTGCATATCTACTTTTTCAGCCCTATAGATGTGATACCTTAATTTCAAGACATTTTGAGAATATATTATAATATATAAGTAGAGATTTAAATTTTAATTTGTAAGATAATTTTTGTGAGATAAAATCATAAAATATTTAGATTAAAGTAGACAATACCTCACATGTTAGATGTGAATTTTTATAAATGGTATCAGAATGATTACCAGTTGAATGAGAACTAAAGACTACGTTGTGGGAGTCACTTCTAGAATCTCAATGTTTGGTGTAATTCTATGATTTGTGTGTACTTTGTGTTAGGTTTGTCCCATATTTAGTGTGATTCGGTGAATTTGTATATTTTGTATTGGATTTGAAGGGGACATCAAACTTTAACACATGAAATTTGTGACACTTCAATTCAATATCGAAGATTTTTAAAGATTTGTTATAATATATAAGTAGAGATTTAAACTTAAATTTGTGATGTATTTTTTGTAAGATAAAACAATAAAACCTTTGAGTTAAAATGGATAATATCTCCTGTGAGTCTCCGTGATGTACACCAGAAAAGCTTTATCTACTTTCAATGAAATGGATTTGTCACAATGGTTCAGTTGTATGATAGGCATCATACTACATGCAGGGGCAGACGCACAGATAAAACTACTCAGCAACAAATTCGAATTCATAGCACTACTGGCCCATGATTTTTTTCCATAGATTTTTTCATCCATATGTCCTTCACTTCGCACATTCTGTTCATATTGAACCGTTGACAAATTTATAGATTTAGAATAAATTCGAAAATTCGTGGATGAAATTTACAAAAGGGTCACAAACTGATAAGCTATTTTCGTGAATAACCCACATCATTTCACTTTCAAAGTATTTTTTTCAATAAAAAAATTGATTTTAGTGTACGTTTTATAAAAGTTTTATATTTTTTAGAAAGTGATGTTTCATAAAAAAATAATTTATCAAAAGTTAGTATTAATTAGCGTTTAAAAGAGAAAAAAAAAATTAAAACACACTTTCAAAACTTAAAAAAATAGATAAAGAAAATGAAACAAAAAAAATATAATATATTAAAAAATAAATAATAAATAAAAGAATCACGGGAAGTGAAAGGAAGAAATAATCAATCTAATTAGTCAACCGATTTGGCAATAGGCAGTAGTCAAGCTTTTAGGTTGGCATATAAAACAAAATGCTAAAATGTTCATCGCAATCGTAGTCTACGTTTACAAGTTTTAGATGGATGAAAAAGCTTGAAATATATGATTGTAAGTTGCAAAGTCAACAACGCTCAGCCGAAGAATTTCGATTAGGTCTAGACGTTGCAAAGTCAATAACGCTCTGCCAAAGAATTTCGTTTAGGTCTAGCAAATAAATAAAGCAGCATAGCATTCTATTCACGCCCCGATATTTCGTCCATTTACATTTGATTTTATTTGATTTAAAATGTTTTTTTTCTAATTAAGTTCACATCTCTAAACAAAGACAAATTAATTAAAGTCAATAACCACTTAACCCTTTTTCTTTTTTATGTCCACATTATAAACCTGAAGGGCAAAATGATTTTTTTTGTTAAGAAAAAAATATTTTAAAATATCAAGGATATTTTGATCATTTGATTTATTTGACGTGAATAACTAATTCATCTCACGTTCACTCTACCTGATCAGGTTGACATGGCATTCTAGTATAGGATTGAAAATTGGATAAGGAAAGAAGTTAAATATATAATTGGTTAAATGTAAATGGGTTTATTATGAATAGAGTTCTTAAAAAGAGTCGAACAGTTTATCAATTTTGCATTTTATCAAATGAATTTTATTAGTGAGAATAGAATTAGGTGCCCTTACAACAAATGTTAAAATAATCGATTTTGTCAAGTTTTGTTGTTGGTTACGTGAATTGATACTTTCTTAGAGAAGTTAAACAAGGTCAATCATCAAAAAGTAAAGATCAAGGATTTGATCCAATTTGTCAAATAGAAATAAAAAATCCATATACCAAAATGGTAATGAATGCGCTACATTCAAATTTTGATAGTGAGTCAAGAAACAAACAGGTACAATTGAATTACAAGGCATAAAATTGTTTTCTTTAACGAATGATGTAGATGAATTGTTATGGTCAGGTTACATAAAGCACAAGACATTATCTATTGTGTCTCTACTTTTAAATTGTAAGTTGGAGTTTAACACGAGTGAAACATGCTTTGATAGTCTCATGGTGATGATAAAAGGTATGCTTCTAGAAGATGATAATTTACTCAAAAACTTCTATCAAACAAAGTAGAACATGGTAAAATTTGGCCTTGATTTAATTAAAATATATGCATGTGAGAATAATTACATATTGTTTTATAAAGAGAATGCCAATTTAATCTATTGTTTGGTATGTGATCATCCTCGATATGAATCGAGCAAATCAAGTGGGGATAGGTGAAAGAAAATTCCTTTCAATATTTTACGTTACTTGTCACTTATGCTAAGATTTCAAAAGTTGGGTAAAAAATAACTATAAAGTCTATGATATGGCATGTGTGTAATTGAAGTCCTAAAGAAGTGCCTATTCACCTAGTTGACATCGAGGCTTGGCAATATTTCAATCATACACATGAATCTTTTGAAGCTGAACCTTGGAATGTGAGACTCAGTTTATGTCTCGTTGGGTTTTGTCCATTTGGTCAAGGCACAAGATTTTATTCTTCTTGGCCAGTTATACTTGTTATCTGTAATTTATCTCCATGGATGTGCATGAAGTAACCATATTTGTTCTCTAATATGGTCATCTTGGAAGAGAGTAGTACTTCACAAAATATAGATGTTTTTTAAAACCTTTGATAGATGAGTTACAAATGTTGTGATATAATAGTGTTGAGAATTATGATGCTCTTATAAAACAACATTCTTTTAAAGGCAACATTGTTATGGATAATTAATGACTTTCTTCTGTATGGTATTTTATCTAGACAAAGTACTCATAGAAATTATTTGTGTCTTTATTGCATGAGACATACAAAGGCATCAAACTAGATCGTGGAAAGAAGCCTTTTTTTTTATTGTTATCGGTGTTTTTGCCTTGTAATCATCCTTTTAGGAGACAAAGAAATAAATTTGACAAAAGAGTTGACCACAATCTTCTAATTTAGAGATTGTCAGGTGAAAAAATTTTAAAACAAATTGATTGCATAGATGACATCACATTTGGCACAAAATGCTCTAAACAAAAGCTTATTGGCACACTGATGTAATTATATTTTAGGAATTACCTTATTGGCATACCAATCTAATTCGTTATAATTTATATATTATGCATATTGAAAAAAATGTGTTTGACAATTTATTCTACACAATTATGGATGTCAAAGGCAAAATGAATGACAACATTAATGTAAGATTAGATATGACAATCTACTATAGACAAACGGAATTAGAATTGGTGGAAAGAAATTGGAAATCATTCAAGCCTAAAGCATCATACACTTTGAGCAAGGATGATAAAAAAATAGTGTATGCTTGGGTGAAATAGTTAAGACTTCTTGATGGGTTTGCATCGAACATAGCTCAATGTGTAAATGTTGATGAAGACAAGTTTCTCATGATGAAAAGTCAGGATTGTCATTTTTTTTGTAACAATTACTTCCAACTGCTTTTTATAACTTGCTACCTAACTTAATTTTGGATAAATAATTGAGTTATCTCATTTATTTTGAGATTTATGCTCCACTAAATTACATATAGATTAGATGTTGCTATTGCAAAGCAACATTGTGGAAACAATTTGCAAATTAGAGTAATATATTTCCTTTAAGTTTCTTTAATTGTATGGAGTATCTACTGATTAACTTACCATACAAGGTAAAAGTTGGTGGACCTTTACAGTATCAATAATTGTATCTATTTGAAAGGTAGTAAATTTCCCAAAAAATTATTATTAAGATAATCAACCCTAAATCGAATTGTTGTTGATCACTTTTATTTCTACTATGATGATTAGATTTTTGAATCATCTCAAGAAAAAAGTAAAAAATCAGGCATATGTTGAAGGGTTAATATGTGATGCATAGTTGACGAATGATGAAGATTTGGAGAAAGCACATGAAGCAAGATTTAAAAATATTTTAAACAATTTGTAAGTTTAAGGTTCAACTTAAAACTATGAATTGTTGTAATACATTGCAATATAAGAATATTATCAATTTATTGTGTAAATTTCTCTATGTTCAAGAACATGCTAATAAAACTAATCATCGTATCATTAAGCTCTCTTATGGACCAAGATTTATGGCTAGGTGTTATCAAGGATACTTTGTCATTGGTTACAAGTCTCATACATTATATTATGGACAAACCTGAAAAATAATGAATAATAGTGTATGCATGAAAGGAAGTTGTTACAATGATTTTGAACTTTTATGACATCTGTGTATATATCATCGATTTGGTATATTTTAGGATTGGCAATAAACTTGTACTCTTTAAATGTCATTGGTTTGAAATAAAAAAAAAAAAGGTGTTCATGTAGATCCCCAACATGGTCTTGTTGAAATTAAATACAATTCAGTATTTGCAAGTAACGAACCATTTTTGTTAGCTGACCAAGATCAGCAAGTGTGCTATAATGGCTGTCCATCTAAAAAGAAAGCTCGACAAGATTGGCAGGCTGTGTTTAAGACAAAGGCTAGGAGTAGATTTAACTCCAATAATCATGATGCAGATATAATTAACCTTAATGAAAGGGTTTATCAAGAAATGGGAGTATCTAATATGAGAGTTGTTACATGTTTAGAGGAACTTAACAATTTAAGAAT